CAAAAGGTGGACAGTTCAAACTCACCGGTGGCTCTGCAGGAGAAAGATGTGGCACTCAGATTCTGTAAATATTACAGCCTTGGAAACACTGTACAGCAGTTACACTCTGTCCTGCAGTGACACTGTCAGTCAAAATGGACTAGATTGCAATGGCTTTGGTTTGCTTTTGGTTACTCCATTCCATTCCCTCTTTTACTTTGATACTTTTCTCTCTCTCTCTCCCTCCATCTCTCTCACTCTCTCCCAACTTCCCTCTCTCCCTCCCTCTTCCCTTCTCCTAACACTCCTTTATAAAATTTAATTCTTGAGTGCTTATTCATATTGTTGTGTTAATGGCCAAAACATTACCTCTCCACCAGGTAAAAGTAATCTTTTTCCTTTCTGTTTCCTCAGAGCATAGTCCAAGTTTTTTTGTAGTAGATGGTAATAGGGAAGCACTCCTCTTTTCCCTCTGCTGTTATGAGTCAGGCTGCTGCTGATTCGCAACTATACCCTCTCCCAGGAGTTACTCCAATGTTCTGGAAGCCAACTCTACTGGCAATGTCTGGGAGTGGGAGTTTCCAAATTACACTGCCCACAAATTACACAGTCAAAGCCGTTTCCATGATTCCCTTTCTCCCTCTGTCTCTCTTGTAGATGGGCAAAGAAGCCAAAGACACAGAAAAATACTGAATATTCCAATAGGAAATATCGACATACTCACTGTAATTTTCTATTATCCATGGTTTAGACTACTATGGAAGAATATCAAGAAAAGTCCTTCCTTAGTTCCTAAACTCCTCAAGGGGAGAGACTACATCAAATATCAAATAGATTTTGGAGTCTTTCCCACAGTGTCCCATACAGTGATAGTCATATTGTAAATGACTTGACAAATTCTTGAAGGGCTAAGCTACAGTAATTGCATACCAGAAGAGGAGAGTTTATGTTTCAAAGGAAATAATAACAAGGGATGACAAAGGAGAAACAAAGAAATCCATGGAAGGAAACATCACATACAAGGACAATTATGCAACAGTGAGGACAACATGAACCACAAGCAATCACAAGAACAAAGGTTCCTCCCACCTCGAATACTTGATCATTTTATATAATTATGAAATACCATGTTATCATATTTATTTATAAAATACTGTAAATACAGATGACATCACACAAATTCATGAAATATTGAGTCAAACAGTTTGGCATAACGAAGAAATAAGGCAGGTTTGTGGGCTATTAAGAGGGCAAAACAACCAGTGAGGGAAGAAGTTCAAACACTTGGGATCTTGAGGCAGTTGGCATGCAGTCTGGGGCGAGGCATCCTTACCCCACAGAAGAGCCAGAGAATGGGCTTTAATTCCAAAGGTCACTGGGAAGTTATATCACCTGGGCCCAATTTCACTTAAAACACATCTCTTTGGGCAAATCTTTTATCCCAGGACTTTCTGAAACTTACCAATTGTGGAAAAAAAAAGAACTATCAAATGAATATAGTAATCATGATTTAATTTTTCATGTTATCCTCAGACCATGGTAGGAGGTAAAAAGTAACTTGTTGAATGGATAAATAAATGCCAAGGTCTTTGTGGTTATGACAAACACTGGAGCAAGATTGACTGGCTCTAGATTGCTTAGGAGTAGAGGGACCAAGACTCCAAAAACACGAGTTTGCTCACTTCATCTCAATATGCATCATGAACACTCCTCTCTGTGCCCATTGAGGACATTGGTGGTTCTGTGGTAGAATTCTCACCTTCCCCACAGAGACCCAGGTTGGATTCCCAGACAATGCACCTCATATGCAGCCATCACCATTCTGTCAGCGGAGGCTTGCATGTTGTTATGTTGCTGAACAGTTTTCAGTGGAGCTTCTAGACTAGCATAGATTAGGAAGAAAGGCCTGGTCATCTGCTTCTGAAAATCAGCCAAAAGTAACTCTGTGGATCACAACAGTCCAATGTCAAACTGATCTTGGGGATGGTGCAGGACCTGGCAGGGTTTCCATCTGTTGTGCCTGGCGTCACCATGAGTCGAGGTCTGACTACATGACAGCTAACAACAACAACATGCCCAACACTAGGCTTTGTGTTTAGTGGTTATAAAGAGAATGGTACACGTAGATTCAAGCCTCAAGAAATTTGTAATCTAGTTTAGGATGATTAAAATCTAGTAGTGGGATATACACATTTAAATATAAAAAACAGTATTTTGAATTGCATTTTGCCACCACCCACGCTGCCGCTACAACCCATGTCAACTTCACCACCCGAAATACTGCCACCACCACTTCCAACTCCACCACGTGTGCCACCACCACCTGCATTGCCACCACCACCTACACAGTTACTGCCACTTGCAACGCCACCGCCACCATATTGAATCCACAACCCATGCCACTGCCACATTGTATGACAACTGCACAACATGCACCACCATCACCATCCATGCTGACACCACCATATGCATAATGGTCACCACCCACTCCACCATCACCACCTGCATCGTGGCCACCAACCACAGTGATGTCACCACCTGCAATCCCACCACCACCCACAGCATGGTCACCACTAGCACTGCTGCCACCACCCACATCATGGTCACCACCCACTCCAACGTCACACCTGTATCATAGTGATCACCCCCACTGTTCAGATAACTCACATGGAATCCACCACCTGCACCACAGCCATCACTCACATTGCAACCACCACCCGCACCGCCACCGCCATCCACACCACTGCCACTACCCGCATCATGATCATCAACCCCATCACCGCCACCACCTGTATCATGGTCACCGCCCACACCACCATGACCACTGGCAACAACTGCACCACCCGCCATGCCGCCACCATCCACACCATGGTCACCACCCAGAATGCTGTCACCATCCTCATCACTGTCACCACCCATATCATGGTCACTCCATCCCAGCCCCCTGCATTCCCGCCACAGTGCTACCCCCACCCACACGCTGACACCACATGCACTGCCGCCACCACCTGCATCATGGTCACAACCTGCACCACCAATACCATCTGCATCATAGTCAACACCTGCACTGCCATCACCACCACACCTCTGCTGCCATCCTCTCTTCTGCCACCACCCTCTCCGCCAACACCACTCATGCTGCCGCCTCCACCTGCATCACCACCACACCTGTGCTGTAGCCAATATCAGTGCCGCCGCCACCACCCACATTGTGGTCATTACCCACTCTACCACCATCAACCGCACCGCTGCCACCACCCAGGTCGATGCCACAATCTATGCTGGTGCTGCCACGACTCCGCCATTGCCAGTACTGTGCCCACCACTCATGCTGACTCCAACACTTGTGATGCTGCCACCACCTACATCACGGTCACCACCCACACTGCTGTCATCACTTGCTCCACAGCCACCACCCACATCACGGTCCCCACCTGCATTGCCTTTACCACCTTCATCATGGTCACCACCCACATTGCTGTCACCACCTGCAACATGGTCAGAAGCCACTCCACTGTCACCACCCATATCACCTTTACCACCCACACTGTCACAACCACCCACAAGCCCACCACTGACTCCACTGCCACCACCTACACCTCCACCATCACCCATGGCACCACTACTATCTGTCCTGCCACAAACACCCACAGCATCGTCATCACTCACACTGCTGTCACCACTTGCTCCACAGCCACCACCCACATCACGGTCCCCACCTGCACTGCCTTTACCACCTGCATCATGGTCACCACCCACACTGATGCCACCACCCGCACCTCCACCACCACCTGAGCCACATACATAAGCCACACCACCACCACAACCCACACCACTACTACCAGTGCCGCTGGTACCACCCAGATCATGGTCACCACCACACCTCCACCACCACCTGAGCCACAGACATCCGCCACACCAGCACCACAACCCATACCACTGCTGCTTCCAGTGCCACTGGTACCACCCGGATCATGGTCACCACCACACCTCCACCACCACTCGCATCATGGTCATCACCCGCATGGCCACCACCCCTGGGAAACAGAAGGGAAATTCCTCGACATAATAAAGGGCATCTCTACAAAACCAACGGCAATATCATTCTCAATGGAGAGGGGCTGAAAGCATTCCCTCTGAGAATGGAAAAAGACAAGGATGCCCTTTATCACCACTCATATTTACCACTGGGCTGGAAGTTTTAGCAAGAGTAATAAGGCAAGAAAATAAAGTGCATCCAAATTGGTATGCAAGAGATAGAATATAGCTATTTGCAGATGATATGATTTTATATACAGAAAACCCCAAAGAATCCACAAGAAGACCACTGGAACTAATAGAAGGTTTCAGCAAAGTAGCAGGATACAAGATTAACAAACAAAAATCAGTTAGATTCGGAGGGGACAGGAAAGCTGGTGATAGGGAACCCAAGGTTGAGAAGGGATAGTGCTGACATGTCATGGGGTTGTTAACCATTGTCATTGGGCAATATGTGTACTAACTGTTTAATGAGAAACTATTTGTTCTGCAAACTTTCATCTAAGGTACAAAAAAAGAATTATCTATGTAAGATCAAATTGACAACAGCAACTCAAAAGGTTTGATGGGAAGCCTGGGGGGCAGTGAGTTGAAGATAATGGTGACGGAATAATTTGGAAAAGGATAGTGAGATAGTAGCACAACTGGAAGAATGTAATCGATGTCACTGAATTGTACATGTAGAAACTTTCAAAATGGTGTAATTTTGGCTATGTATATTTTCACCAAAAAAATGTCTTCAAGGTCGAGAAAGGAGAGTGTGGACATGTCGTGGGGTTGTTAACCAATGTCATAAAACAATGTGTACTGACTGTTTAATGAGAAACTAT